CATACCTGCAAGAGCCGTAGATATAGTCAATAATCAACCATAGCATATCAAATCATTGATAAGATAAGATCAATGATTATAATTCTCACCAACAATAAGGATACTGCATTAATCAACACTATTAAATCTATATTCTTAATATTAGATTATATACTCTGTATGTAGTATATCTTTTAGAATATTCTTACTAAATACAGACTAATCTTACAAGCTTAAATTATCTAAGTAGAGTATCTTAATACTATAGAAGTAGCCTAAGATCTAGAATTCTAAGTTAAGGTGTAAGAGAGATAGGAAGCTCTAAAGAAGGTATTTAGTAGGGTTATCTATATATATATAGAAGAGGAGAAAGACATAGTATAGTATTTACTTTATAGTAAGTATAGCAGTAAGGTCTGGATACTAGTTCTTAATTATATTAAGAATAAATAGCTTAATAAGAATACTTCATAAGCATTCTTATAATACTATATAAAAGATTACACCTATTTTAAATAGATAGCTATATTACAGAATGAATTAGCTTACTAGATTCTTAAATATAACCTTAGAACTTTAATAAATAATCTCCTAGTAACTATATAATTATTTAAATAGACTATCTAGGCCCAGTATTATAAGGTGATTTAAACCTATAAAGATAATAAGGTAAACCATCTAATAGGGATAAGATTAAGTCTATTCTAGTAGGTATTAGGCCTGGTATCTTACTATACTATTAGATAGGTGCAGAAGGAGTATAATAAGTATCTCTTAGTTAGTAGCTATAGAAGGAAGCTAATTAATCTAGATTATAGTAGTATCTTTAAATATATAACTAGTCTTCTATGTATCTATATTATTAAGGAATGTATTAATGCTAATTAACTACTAGGACTCTAGTTCTTCTACTCTTACTAGTATCTATATCTAGATATAGAGCTACTACTATTAGACCCTTATCTCTTACTACTAGAACTATATATTATTTACACCAGGGTAGGCCTACAGGGTCTACTAATTACCCTATACTAGTAAGCACCTAAGATACCTCTACTTAGTAAGATCTATTAGTATTTAAATATATATTAGCACAGGAAGCCCCCTATAGAAGAGAGAGAGGGAGAGGTCAGGGGTATAGCTATAGGTATAGAGGTATATCTAGTAGTTAGGTAGATAGTCAGTAATTATAGCCTTAAGATATACAGCAGTAAATAAATGCAGAGAGCTATTAAGATATACAGCAGAGAGGTTGCAGGGGCTATTACTAATATAGAGGTAGCTAGGGGGGCTATACTAGTATATTAGCTAGTATAATAAGTATAATCTAATTCTAGTCAGCTAACCTAGGTGACTATAAAAGGAAGGTATCTTATTATCTAGAACTCTCCTTCCTTCTCTCCCTAATTATAGATAACTAGCTGTCAGCTTATCTGCACTATAGATAAGCTAATAGCTAGTTAAGAAAGCCTATATTACAGAGAGTAACTAATAACTATATAATATATAAGATAGCCCTTCCCTAAGTCTAATCTAACTTCTACTAACTTCCTAGTATTAAAAATAGTTATTTAAAGAGAGTATTAGTCCTTAATTAATTATATTAATTAAGATATGCAGTAGGAGATTATAGTAGTAGGCAAAACTAGCATAATATTCTGAATAGAGGTTTCTGATTAGTTAAATTAATATATAATTAGATTGTGCTATTAGAAGGCATTAAATGTATAAATCCTATTATTAAATTTATATAGTAAATTAAATTATCTTTATCCTCTGCGGAGTCTATAGTGGAAAATCTATTTTACTAGGTATTAAAATTTGCTTTAATTACCTAATTAGGTAAGGGGGGTGTCTCTATAGCCAAGACAGTGTCCTGTTATCCCTAGGGGGTGTCACTGTATCACTACCCTATCTGTAATCATAGCAGTATTCTATTTTCTAACACATTGGTTGAGTCAGGCGTCATTGTTCTCTGCTCTGTTGGCGTATCCAACATCCCAAAATATCATCTATCCTATCATCATCTTTTACGTTGTTAGTACAAATGGTATGCAACTATCTACTCCATATGGCTCTTCCAAACTAGTATGCAAATTGACACGATCTCTTGCTGGGGCCGATTACCCCCTCATTCTTCCTGACCTACCCTGAACTCCGAAGTATGTACAGCGAACTCATCTCACCGTAAGTCAAACAAAACATTAATATGAAGGTTTTCCAAGAAATTTGGACCAGAATGTTATTGATGAGGCGTTAGTCGCATTTATTCTTACCTAAAATACTCCCTTTTTCCTTGTTGAACGGCCTGAATTCCATGCCTTTTGTCGAGGGCTCAATCCAGAATCAGACGACTATATTATCACACCAAATGCCTTTGTCCCTAAGAGTAAACACCCATGGCAAGCTCAAAAGAATATTGTACAGAAAATACTCCAATCAGCATCATCAAGCATTCGTCTTTCACTAAAAATCTGGACCTCACCAGATCAGGTTCTCTTTCTTAGAATCTGTGCTCATTTTGTTAAGCAGAGTCAAGGAAGGCTATCACCTGGAGAAGATCCCCAGGATCATACAAAGTAGTTATCATTGCGAAGACCAGGCAGGAGAATCACCGGCTCAGCATCCCACCATGCTGACTACACCTCAAACAGAGGGTTGTCACATGACTAAAGACCAGGTAGTCGTTCGCTGATAGTCTGAAAATCAATCATCTTGAACATCGCGAATCCTTTTGGAACCTATGTGTTCTGGTCAAAATGACACAAATTCCTGATCGATCTGCTGGCCCAGAACAAGTCCGACGTTATATCAGACAGATCCTCACATCCAGGCATAAAACAGATGATAACTTTGCTGAAGAAGCTGCCCGCTCTTGGCGATTAGGGCGGGGCTCTGAGCTTTATGATGCAACATTAGAATATCTTCAAGAGATATTTGGAGTGGATATAGGGTTTTGTCTTTTCCAGAGTATCTGTGAAGATAGAGATAACGCCTGGGAGCAGTCATTTGTTGGTATTATCTGCAACTGTAAGTTTTGGCGAAACGTGTATAGTAGGTTATCAACGAATTAATTTTTATAATAGGGATGCTCTACGCCTCAGCTATGTTCTTATTTTGGTCTCTTATTATGTTATTCTTAGGACATCGTTCAAGTTGTAAGGGATCTTCATTATTGTCCTCTGTATACCTCTCTAGTTAATATACTAATTTCTTATATAGTATCTTTCCCAGCGCTACTCTTCGGCGCAACTCTGGCACATTATGGTTATCGAAGACCTACGTACCACTACCCGATTTTAGCAATGGGTATTTTTAATGTATGCATCTCCTTGCTCGGAATCTTATAGATCCACGTCTTATGAACAACTCTGCGATGCTTGCCTTCCCTTTCTCGTGCCTGTACCGATGTGTGTCTATAATTATCCCGTTCTTTCATCAGTTTCTTCCCTCGCTTGTCACTCCACATTAAGGACATCTCTTTGTTGTGTGGGCAAAGAAGTGGGGACGGTCAAACCGAAAATGGATCGGGTAGTGCAACTCGAGCGTAGTGCACCTAACTATGACTGCCTTTCTCAAAATCCACTACAGCCTTTGCGTGGCTGGTATTTCTTTGCTTCCTAGCATGGTTGGTATATCGCCGAATGCGTCTCCGCTCTCTCTGGGTAGTTTTTGCCGTGGTATTCTCAGTGTTGGGCGGTCATGTATGATACGGTTAATAGTTTCCTCAGCCCCACAATACTCTATCGTCTTGGGATCCATAAATCTTCTGTAGAGTGCCAGCCAGCAGTGGCCGATCCGCAGCTCGTATAGACGAAGGGTGAAAGACAAGGCAGTACCTACCAAAGCAATAAAAAAAGAAAAACATACAACAGCCGGGATTCGCTGGTGGTCACCCACCCAACTACTAACCGGCCGGCGTGTGGCTTAAGTACGGCTGAGCGGACGGGAAGCCCTGTTTTCCACACCCTATGGTCGTATGTGCTAGGATGGAGTTGTTTAAAAATTATATGCAAGACAGTACACCCAAGAAAGTGAGCCAGCTCTGCTATGGGCTCCTTGAAAGACAGAGGAAGTGTAGAGTTGCACTTGGACTTGCAAGGCCTGACTTCGGCACTTTTTCTCAATTGAATACTAGGGAACGGCTGATGTATAGGCACTGATGTGATGTGTCTGCCCTGAAGCGTTGTGGATTTCAGGTATGCCGCTGTTCACATGGTGAGGCCTGCGCGATATCACTTCCTATCACTTCTTATTTCCGGGTATTGTCCTGCTCTGAGTAAGTCGAGGCATACCGAAATAACGACTTTCAAATGCTAAGGACAAAGGTAGGCCTGGTCTGGTGTTGTCCCTCGAATAATACCGAACTGAAGTCACGGACAACTTGGGCCTCTCAAGATGGAGGGTCTACTTTTCATAGACTGCGTTGGTGTAATTCTCACGAGCCACTGGCTATGGCCCAGATGGGCAGATATACAGTAGCTGTAAGAGAACAGGCCATGCAGGAGATGACCCTTCCATTTTGCTCAGCACGATGCCATCACCAGGCTCTTGGACTCAGTCTCATTTGAAGCGTGCTTTCAGAGCCACTTTCTTCTTTGTTTTGATGAATACTATTAACACCAAAGTCGTCCATTGTCAATAGCCACCGTTGGAAGGAACAGGTCCCATGCGAGTGGGAGTGCGAAACCCAGGTGTGAGAATGATGCTGTATAGCCACTTTCAATTACAAAACTCACAGAACGCACATGCAAAGGATAATCAAAGGGAGATTGACCATCTGTGAGTGCATGTAAGGCTGTATGCACCGCCATTAAGCGAGCGCTAAATACAGGTGGAGCATCCTCTGAATGGCTGCCTGGAGAGCCTGAGTGCCTGCCCTCGTGATGATCTCCGTCCTTGGCACCAGTAACTCCCCGTTTGGCTGCGACAGAGTTCCTTGGAGATCTTCTTGATCTACTCCATATTATTCCCCCGTCTTGTCCCAAATAACTCGCCTTTGATGATTTCGATATCCTCACATGGCTGAAAATATAGCAGTCACCTCTGCGGTGCCCTCTGCAGAGCCAGCTGCTGTCTCTGGTGATTGTTTTTCTTCCCCCACCGTGACCGATGGGACAGAAGTTGCCAGGAACAATGACGTCACGGTAGCGGATCGGGAGAAAGCAGCTCGTCTTATTCAGGTACGGAGTACATCTTTTATGTAGTTGTCATAAACTGCTTCGTTTCGTTTTTTCTCTAGTGTTGTACTTGTTTGACCTCACGGTATAGAGGACTTATCGCGGATATCGAACGCGACGTGAACTACAGGGGTTGGGGGTGAATGCATCTGCGCGATGGTCTGAGGTAATGCCCTCTTAAGGATCATATTCTGACCAGACTCCTTACTTCTTCTGTTAGGCCTTAAAGGAAGCAAGATGGCGCCAACTCTATCGTCCCTCCGTTTCGCCAGAGGGCACAGGCCCAGACGCCTCCAGACAAGTGCATGAAAAATGGGAAAGAGTCGTCAGCGTCGCTATGCAAGTCGGCAGTGATGACGGCAAGTACAGGAAAGAGACCGATCCTTCAAAACGGCCCACAGCTAGTCCAGCGGCTACAGGACGACCCTCCGAAAGTGCGCCAGCGGATGCTTCTTCCACTTCCAGATCGCGATTTCTCCATTCATTTCCCATACTCCACCACGGAGTACCATCTGAGAAGATGGCCAAGATGATGGACCAACGGTACTTTCTTGAAATGGTTGATCTCAAACATCGTCATGGCAGCAACCTGCGCAAGTATCACAATTATTGGAAAAACTGTCCCTCAACCCAGAACTTCTTCTACTGGCTTGATCATGGCGAGGGAAAAGATTTAGATTTGCCTGAATGTCCCCGTGCGAAGCTGGAGCATCAGCAAGTGCGCTATCTCAGCCGGGACGAGCGGCTGAATTATCTGGTCACGGTAGACCAGGCAGGTCTCTTCCGCTGGGCAAAGAATAACGAGCTTGTGTGCACGGATAGTACGCGCTTCAAGGATAGTCTCAAGGGTGTTGTGCCGATTGATGAGGACGCGCCACAGTTTAGAGGTCATTCCGAGGCTGGTTATCCGGTCGCATATGCGTCAAGCTCGTCTTCCTCACCAAGTCAGTCGTCGACTGATGAAGACTCAGCGGACGATAATCCCAGCGAGCAAATCAACCAAGGTTATGAGGAAGCAAAAGGGGTCCACAAATTAGCCCATATCACACCGTCAGTGGTGCGCGACCATTTTACTCGCAAGCCCGCAAAGAGAAAGGACATGTGGTTATTCGTGAGACAACGTTTTCCTATTATCAGGGACCCAGAGTACCCATGACTGACGGTGACACAGGTCGCGGACACTTCATTTCGTCTGTACATCGGGATCAAGGAAAAGGGAGCCTTCCAACATTCCTCATTTCTACGGGGTGCGCGCGTTGCGGCGGCAGGTTTGATAAAGATCTGGAACGGTCAGCTACGCAGTGTAACACCTTTGAGGTAGGTTAATATTCCTCTCTTCGCTCTCGGCAGATGAGACAGCATAAATACTTACGTTTCAGTGGCCATTACCGTCCACCGTCGGCCAATTTCCGCGCTTTCGTTCACGCATTGCAGGATCAAGGTGTGGATATGTCCCATGTTTCCATTACAAAATCGTACGCCATCCTTGCAGGCATGGAGGGATACGTTCGGACAAAGCACAAATTGCGAGCCTTGCATGAGACGCTAGATGATTCAAAAGAAAAGCTTCTTCATGGGCGACAAAGACAGAACGATCGACATGTTGAGAAGGATGCGCAGGTGCCGGACGAAAAAGCCATCCATAAAGACCAGGCCGAATGTTTATCCGCAACGGCTAATGAAGAAAGCTTGAGTGCGAACGATAAGGAAACGGACGGTCGGGCTTTGCCTGCAAGGGTGAAGATCCACCAGGCCTCCGCTTCGCAGGATCCGATAAACCCCAGTGATGAACCTGCTACTATGCCAGCTGATGATCAATGATACCCAGAATGCGTAAATATTTGATGTTAGAACTGCCATGGATATTGACCCCTCTGACCAGCCAAAGAGTTATCGGTCGTGGTCATCTGAATGAGAATGCATAATTCTGAGTATTTCCTTCAAATAGGCCATTTTTGATGTGGTATAGTCCATTGACAATGCGCCTTCTGAAAGGTCAGGCAGTGATCCCGTACGACATCTCTGCAGCTCTCGGCGTCAACCTCAACGAAGGAAGTGCTAGCAGAAAGACCAACTCGACCATTGTACGAGCTGAAACAAGCGCGAAGCAATAGAAAGTGCGTCCCAGATCTACCAGTTTATAGAAAGATGATCCTGCAGCGGACTCGCTAGGAACTGGAACATGATGCGTGACATAGTCTGCAGACAGAGAGGAAATATCTGTGGCAGTCCAAAGAGTGGTGTTCAGTTGTTCAAAAATGACGGTCACTTTTGTGGGTATGAGCGACTGATCGAGTTTGTTCGCCTTGAGTACAAGCTCAATCGTCCGGAGACACGCTGTGCACAACCTGCCCCAACCAAGACTCATATGCCGCTCTCCAAGATAAGGCTCCATTCGGCGCCTTCATCCAGTACTGCCGCCTCGTCTAGGGAAAAGCATACAGCTGGCGGCTGTTCCCACACTGGCATCTTCCTATAAACCTGTGCAACTAGCCTACAGGTATGTTAGTCCGAGCTGAAGAGGTATTGAACGGGGTCAGGAATATCTCACGCTTGCACATCGAATACGGCCCAAGCGACCAGTTTATGGCATCTTGATATTGGGCCTAGCTCAGCCCGGTCCACGTTGCTGTAGAGGTACTTCGGTGACTCGCAGTGTAGGTCTAGTTCTTGGCATAGTTTTGCACCTTGGAGGATATTTTTCGTTCCCAGCCTAGAGTACAACACAGGATGCCAATCAAGATACTGGACTGCGCAACTGGGGAGGTTCCGCTGGTCCTTCTCGATCTGCCAGAGGTGCTGGATGTCAGGTTATCTGGTCCAAACTGTAGGAGGAACTCTGCATCAAAGTCAGCAGATGGATACGACAATGGAGCGATTGACATTACAGGGAATATTGAGTAGCTTACCATGCTTTCTTCTTTATCATGAGAGAAGAAGTATAAAATCTACTAGGATAAGGAGAAGCTGAAGGGAAATTCTGACAAGTACTTATAGAAAAGAGACCCTGTCCTGCCTTATACCCGTCCTGCATAGCTAAGGAAGGCTAACTTCCCAGGCAACTAAGCAACAACTTTAACTACATAGTGGGCAGAGTTCTTCTGCCACCTCATCGCCCTAGCCCCTCCCCTAAGCTAGATACTATGGCTGCCCCCTTAGAAACTAGACTCAAGTCTCCCAATGCGACACTCAAGATCCATAATTTCAATTTCCGTTAACAAGGTACTATGGTAATAGGGTGAAAGCTGCACACAAAGGAATATTTTCTGTTTCGCAAGGAACAAGAAGGAGGGGGAGGAGGGAACGCCCAGGTGCGAATGGAATTCCAAGTCGGCCCACAAACAATGGAAGAGAGACTGGTATTACGATGAGCCAAAAACGCGAGGAACAAAGCACCGGCTCAATGTCCAACACAATCAGGGCAACCTCTTTCTGGAACTGGAGGCACGCGGTTTCGCCATACTTCAGCAGCGACATCGTTTGATGCAATTAGTGGGAGACGAGGTCTATGGACATTGTACCGAGAGTGTGCCTGTTGTATCATGAGTGGTCGCGGCCACCACCCCATTCCGGACTTCTTCCAGCGCCTGATATGAGTTTGATTCAAGGTTGAATGTACTGTATCTTGCTGGAGAATTGCTGAATTCCACGGAAGATCGTTGGTTTACCTAGAGACGTATTCGCAATTCGGCAGAAGATAGCCCATGGCAAATATCATAACATGAGGATCTGAAACGTCGGTTTTGGGGCGATGTACGGGTCTGGCATAACGTTAGTCCCATGCTCGGATCAAGGTCATAGAAGCACTTACAACTCTCCATCAGAAGTACCTCGTTCCACAGATTCTCTGCGCCTCTCTCGCCCGGCTGATCGGTATAGAAGAACCCACCTAGCGTTTCCCTCGCTTTCTCCCATTCGACCAAATCCAGACGACGCGCCATCTCCGTTAACCGACTGACGAACCAGGGGTGACATTTATAGCCTTGCGACGCCATGCCTCCGATAAACAGGATCCAGAAGACGAGATCCGGCGCGGTGGACTGGCCATGTCCGTATGCCGGTACCAGACTTCTCCTCAAAGCCTCGACCATGAACTGCATGAACGGAAAGGCCTGAAAATGCCAGATCCGCAGGTTCAGGTAGATCAGCAGGGACAAGCGTAGTGGCTCCTGCAACAGAGTCGTACCGGTCTCATACACGGCCGATAGGAGCCGGTGCTCGAGCACCAAGAAGAGGTCGTTGTCCGTCGGCAGGACGATCGAGGGCTGCTGCTGCGCGGTTTCAAAGTAGATGATTAGGCGCCGCAGAATCTGGACGAACGTCTTCAAGGTGTTGTCTAAAGGCGGGTACCACGGTGCGGCGAAGAAGCGGCTCCCCAGTGCCTCAAGAGATTTGGAGACGCGGAGATGTTCTGTTGAGCGGAAGAGGGTTGATTCCTGCAGAATCTCGCTGCGCCAGCGAGCGGACATGGGAAACGTGGGACGGGAATTTTGGAGGGCTGCGCTTTTGACATCGCTCCTGCACAAGCTTTGTTACTTCCGTCTCTTCATCTCGGTGGGGGGAATTGGAACAGTACGTACTGGTAGATTTTGGAGAGGGTCATGTGGTCCAGGGCGTCGAGGCCGCCAAGGAGATTGATGAGTCTCTTTAGACCTTTCATGTGCGCGTGCACAGCCTCAAAGTTGGCATCCACAGCCTCAATGGCCACCAGTGAGGCTACAATGAGGGTGGTGGACTCTGCAACGGCTTTTATGGGATCTTGCAGGATATCGTTCAGCGTTTTGAGGGTGTTCCCGCGGAGACGGAGGGAGTCTTTGATTGATTTCTCGATGGCTGTGGAGGAGACTCCATTATTGGATTCAAGCGTTGCGTGGTGGCCCGCTGTGAGGAAGAGGAGCGCTTGGAGCAGGGCCGGCTGGGAGATTGCTCGCTGCCACCACCAAATGCTCATGCGGGTGGAGTCAAGGGGATAACAAGAGGCGATGGTGTGGATCCGGACTAGACTCGTCAGCATGTGTACTCATTGAATTGTGAGCTGCTCATACAGTGATGAAAATACAGATTCATCGAGTCGGACATTTGCACGGCCGAGGCGGAAAAGGGATCCACAAAACCCTGGCTCAGATACGCTTTCAGAGACCACATCTCCGACATTTTTGCAACCCGATTAAGAGTGCCCTGCGGACGGTCTGACTGGAACTCTTCATTATCTTCTGCGAGGGCATCCCAAGGATATGCTGGAGAGAAGTTCGAGGTCCTGCCGTGGGCAAGACATAGGGATGGTTTCGATGGCTTCGAACGTTTCAGCCTCTCAATCGAGGCTTGTTTTTTCTTCCGGTGGTAGTTTCGTAGGAGAAATGCCTGCTTTTGCTTGTTAAGTGAGGGATTCTGCGGGTTGTCGGCCTGCGAGTCAATGAACAGAAAGATGGGCTTGGAGTTGCCACGGAGCATGGGTGAGGCCTCGGGTCCTGGGGATGAGCTGGATGACAATGATGATTGTGGTGAAACTGCGGACGACATGGTGATCGTGGTATAACTGAACAGAGCTCGCTGATGTGTTGAGAGCCGACGCTCCTCCCATCACGTATCTTTTGTATGGCTACATGAGCGAGTGCCTTCCATCCCAACCACAGAAGAAATGGACTTCCCGTTTCGGCTTAGCAGATGAAGCACATTGATATACTGCTCAAGCCACAATCACGTAGTAACCCAATCAGCCCTCCCTCTCGGGTCGGGCAGGACGGGCCGCTGATAAAAACAGCCAACCAGATGGTGTAAAATCAGTTGTCAGCATTAGATACACAGTTAGTAATGGCCCAGATCTCGCGATGTGGCAGCACTGGTCGAGTTGGAACACATATCCTACCCAATTTTCTCTCAACAAGCCATTTCGGATTATGTAGCTGAGAAAAAGGAGATAGGGATATCATCATTATAGGGGAAAAAGCGAAACAAGCCAATCCATAGATGGGATGGCCAACTAACTAAGATTGGAGGAATTCTCCTTATCATCAGTGAAATCATCCAGACGCCGCCAGAAGTCATCCAATTTCATTGACCTTTCAGACGAGGAACAAAGCGACGGAGCTGGCGAAGTCTCATCCACAACAACAGGTGGGGAGCGGGAACTTTTCGGCCGGTGCAAAATAGTGGAGATAATCTCCCATTGCTGGCGGAGAGTCTTAACCTCGGATCGTAGGGCGTCATTCTCTTTGAGCAAGCGGCAGACCTCGTCCGTCCGCTTGGTATACTGATCCAGCAAAGTCTGGCATTTGAATTGAAGATCCTCGGCCTTTTGCTGGAGGGTTTTCTTCTGCAGGTCCTTGCGCTCGCGAAAGCGGCGCTGGGCCTCTCGGTTCTGCATGCGCCGTCGGACCTACGATTGAGTCAGCTGAGCGTTAGCGATAACTAGTGCACACCGTGGGGCCTGGAAGGGGTAAAAATACGGTTTTTGTTATGCAATCGTGTTGCGGCACGTCGACCATATGTGGATCCAGATTATGCCCTTCGTGCTCATCCTGCTGAGTACTGCAGTCCGGAGGTGTGGCTGGAAGAGCCAGTCCTGGTGGCAGACAAGTTTCATCGATGGCTTGGTGGACGCCATATTCGTCCTTTGTCCACATTATCGTAAGAATCGGGACGGCCAATGATTTATTAGCGTACTTACCAGTGAGTAGACTAACTCCAACGCCGTGGTGGTGCCATCGCCGATGTAGGAAGCGGGAAAATAGAGGGCACTGGGGCTTTGCTGAGGACGATGGGCCATTTTGAAGTGGTTTCAACGAGAGAAGGGAGTTGGTTTGGAGAATTTCCATCATTGTCGAAAGAGATTCCAGGACTCTTATATGTTGAAAGTCAGTCGGCTTTTTCAGTGAGATAGGTCTACACGGTATCCATATCGATGCTTGAGGGCCATGGACCAGACAGACCAGACTGAGGCATCCCCCGAAACAGTTAGTTCGGTGCCATGGTATCCATGTCGATGTTTGAGGGCCATGGACCACCAGACAGACCAGACTGAGGCATGCCCCGAAACGGTTAGTTCGGTGGCATTCGTGAAGCCGCTCATTTTAGGCAATCCATCGGGAATGCAGTGAGGAAAATCCGACAAATAAGATATGGTCGTTTGGGCCAGGGTCTCACTAGGATCAGATTATTCCATAGTCCCTCAAGTTCCGTCCCACTCCAGGCGAATCAATTGGACAATTCTTGATATCGCGAATCGCACATCTGGCATTCGCCGGAGAAACAGACGGCAAATAAAAGGTACCTATGTCCATAAGTGGGGTAGCCACATGGTAAGATCTGATAGCGTCAATTACAATAAGACTCGCAGGAGATTAAACCAAACCAATCCGCGGAATCTTCGTCATTACACTCGCCCGATGCCGTCTCACTAATGTCATGCCTTACGTCTCTGCCGTTGGCTTGCTAGATCTTGGCAGGAATAGATAGTAATACTACGGATTCGTTCATTGCATTACGAGGGATTTGGCAATTTGTCAAAAATACTTAGAAATCAATTCAGCAAAAGCAGAGCACTTGTTGAATGGTGACTTCGACAGTATTGGCTTCTATAATTGGCCCCGCCCTTTAGTGGATTGCTTCTATACAGTGTGACAAGAATGATGAACTCTAGGCAAAGCGTTGGTTTTGTGTATGTTGTAGTAAAACAATTGAAGTCCGTATTATTTCGCCCTTGGAGACTTGCTAGGAGTTAGTATCCAATCATCAATTAGCAGGAACAGTAATACTTACAAATCGATCTTGGGGTTCCAAAGGCATTCGAGCATTCGACCAGTATCGTTTGGAGCATGTCGAATTGTAGAGAGGAAGGATAACTAGGATTAATCTCTAAAGAAAACACTCGTCCATTTTGCACTTGATGAGTTGAAGGCTGGTCTATACAGGACTGATTCAAGACCAAGAGAGTTCAGGTTGTTCTCTTTCTGCTTACTATACAACTAAGAGCCAGAGCTAAGTTATAGTTAACCTCCCCTGGTGACAAATAAGAGTCAAGAGTAACGGGACCAGAAGAGGGTTAGGGCCATTCTCAAGGTAAGCGACAAGCTTTCGCAGACTAGATCCTTCAAGGGACACTATTGGGGGGCCTTTTCCGGCCCAGACAGCAATCTAAGGTTGCCGCACTCAGACTGAGGTCATTTGCAGCCTGGAAGTAAGAACTTACTAATTAAATAGGAATTCTTATCTACTCCTCGCTGCTGGAAGGACTAGAGAGTATATATCCCAACCAATCAGAAACCAGCGACCAATAACTGTTTTTGGAAATCGTTTCGTTTCCCATGACTTGCTGAGGTGTGTGAGCAACACAGTTCGCCAGCGCATTAAAAGGGCACTATCTACCTATTACTGAGTATGAGCACTTCGCAACCTGCCCATCACGAGAGACCGTGTCGCTTGTACCTTCCGCACCTTGTCACATTAAGAGTACTAGCATATTCCCGCGGTGAGGGTCGATGAACGGATTGTGGTCATCGACTTCGCCCCGCGAGTACTAAGAGTGCATAAGTCATGCCAGAGCGTGCGCGGGTGGAAATTCTTTCTAGTTACTCACACCTGAATCATCATCCCCGTTAACTTATTGCTTGGGAAGTGGACTATGCACGGTCCATGGCGGGCTCTTGGGATCAGGATATAGATAATGAGCATGTCTCCAGAGCTGTTTATTAACAACCTCCACCTTCCGCAACCAATTTCCTCTGTCTTGTCCCGCAGTTTCAACGATTATTAGAGATAGAGCCATTTCACGGTTTCGCATTTACCCCCTGCGCACACAAACCCCCCAATTTCCCCAGCGCGCTTCTTGGAGTTCCCCACCTCATCGAACCCAAAAGTAAACTACGCGAGTTAGGCACACTGGCCTGAAATATAGAGGGGAATCAATTATTGCGAGGTCCGGGTAAGATATATCCACCGAGATTGTTGAAAAATTCGCCTGCTTTCCCCATATGTTCAGCTACATCATGCCCTACCCAGGAGGACAAAAGCCCCATTCTTGTGCCCTCCATTTCGCGAATATACTTGCCAGATATCTGATTCCCGTATTAGTAACATTTTCCCCGAAATACCAGTCCCAAAGAGACAATGTAATAATGCAGGTAGGGAACCACTTACCAAAAAACCGTGCCCCGACTCAGTCGAGAGCAGCGCTGCTTCTATTGCTTCCGCAACCGCCTCCGGGGTATTCACCTCCAGCCCAGCGCGCAGCCAAGCGTCGGAGATGCCCAAGGTCAGATGTGTGGTGATGAAAATCGGCGCTACGGCGTTCACGCGGATACCATGTTTCTGTGCTTCGGTTTGCGAGGCGCGAAGTAATCCCACCACACCATGCTTCGACGCGGTATACGCGAGAGTCCCCGCACCATCAAAATACCCTGCTGTCGAGGCGACGAGGACGATCGAGCGCGGGCTATCGGGTGGTGCGGACTTGAGGTGGTGGATGGCGAGTTTGAGCGCTGCGAGACAATTGATATTCAGTAGCTAAAAAGAAAGCAGAATCAACAGCAGAGACGAAACGAAACATACTGTTCAAGCTCCCCTTCAGATTCACATCGATAGTCCGATACGCCTCCCTCGGTGCCTCCAGATTCCCATCTGCATCATAGCTATCCTGCAGGATCGGCTCGTGCTCCATGGTGCCGGCATTGGCGACCACAAAATCAAGGCGCTGATACCGCTGCTGTATGGATTCAAACACGCTGCGCAGCTCGGCCCAATTTGTAATATCGGCTGCCACGAAACATGCCCGTCTCGGGCAAGGCAAGGAAGTGATGAGTTCATGTGCGCTGTGCGCGGTTGCTTCCAAGTCAACGATAATGACGATTGCCCCGGCAGCGTTGAGGCGAGTGGCTGTTGCGGCGCCGATGCCGTGAGAGCCGCCAGTGACCAGGGCGACTTTTGAGGAGAGAGAGTTTGGCGGTGGGGTTGTTGGCATGTTTGACTAATTTATTTGTCTCGGCTTGACGTGGAGCTTTTCGTTTTGTGGGTGGGTTGTTGTTGGCAAATTGCGAGTGTTTGTGTAGGATATCCGCCTTGCATTGGTATTGTGCAGCTGAGGAGAGCGAAATACAGTGCTCGTTACATTTTCGAACAGCACTTCAAATCCTAAATGCAAAGTCAACGGCGGGTAATTGATCTGTCTCTGAATAGGCTCGCTTATTAGTGGTGGTCATGCTCGGGGAAATACTCCGACGCAGACAAATTCCAATGTGCGGATCTATCAGCGGTACAAGGAGCTCTGGTGCAAGCGAGGCCAGCTGTACTCTGTGCCGCAACACATGCGAGCTGGATTCACCATAGCTCATTAGGAGTCCGCTGGTAAAGGTTGGGCTCAACGATCATCGTCCCTGCGGTGGATAAGCGGGTTCAGCCATCTCTGAAACTCCTCCAACCAGAGCCGACGGGGGCTCCCGCCGGCGGATTACCAATCTGCGCCGTCAATATCGTGACATGTGGACCAGAGGCTCGAAAGAGGCCTCCAGATTAAGGTACCTCTGGACAAGTCGAAGAGCCAATGATGCATGACGAAGACCAATGAACAGCTGTAGAGGACGTTCTAGCAAGCTCGGCTGATACTCTTAAGTGTCTGGTTCTGTTGAACGGTCTGGCAAAAGGTTGTAGTCCGATGCTGATTCCAGGCGAGTTCGGCATATTTGGGGATTCTGAGAAGGAAATGTGACAATCACCAATCAACACTCGGCTCCGTCTGACCCAAGCCTCCAAATTACCAGAGGCAGGAAGCCCCTTCGAGTTTACCAGCGTGGTGTCTGGACACCTTGGGGGACAGGAAAACCCGACAAATGAGTTTTCATGTGGGAGCGAAATCGAAAGAAAGAAGAATCATCCAAATAAGGGGAGAGCTTCGTAGTTTAAATATTACAAGCTTCATCAGAATCAAGATTCTGAAGCACAGCTTCAAGGCAGCGGGCGAATGATCGGAGAGATTAATATGACCTAGAAAGGACTAGTTCTTATCTCGGACCCAGCAACTGAGTGCCGACTGGGCTCCGCTAACGATCGGTCTATCATACGTAGTAGATTTTCCCTAACCTGTCAGACGGCTATCTTCTCTGTGGAGTTGGCATCGTACCGACCCACTGTTGTCTCTCAGAGTGGCCTGGATGGCTGATTTCTCTGTATCTGAGAATACTCGGGCACATGTGCGCCCGCCCCAGCTTCATAGTCGGTGGGACGGCATCTGTCAGGGTCTTTAGATATACAGACTAGTCTCGACCCTCTGCAAAGCTGGGGACATTCCTGAAGAATGATATCAGCAAATAGGACACCTGCTTCATAAAGCTGGTTCGTCACTCTGGCAATCGCTCATCTCAGACACCCTCAAAACTCAGTACTATCAGCCTCCGGACCAAAAGAAGAATCGTCATTCAGGTCTCAAAATGGCGGTTGCCGTCCATTCACTGAAAGATGAAAAAGTCGCGATATTCGCCGCGTGTTTCGTTTCCCTCCTAGCATTCCTCCAGGGACTGGACACGGCTCAGATCTCCGGGTTCACGGCCATGCCCGGATTCCTAGCAGACTTTGGCTTCTTCAATAGCGCAACACAGAGCTGGGACATCACACCGTCCAGACAACTCCTCATAACTTGCATCATAAACGTCGGCGCCGCAGTGGGCTCGCTGATTGCCGGACCGCTAGGCGCGCGATTCGGATCCAGATACGGCCTTATGTTGTGCGCTCTTACATCCATCCTCGGCTCGACTCTCCAGGCCAGCAGCGCTACATTATCAATGCTGATATGCGGCCGAATCTTTGTCGGCATGGGGATCGGAATGGCAACCAATTTCATCCTCGTGTACCAGGCTGAAGTTGCCCCGGGCCCGTTGCGTGGTGTGCTGCTTGGCACGTTTTCACTCACATACACATTCGGTGGGTTCGTCGGAACATGCATCAATCAGGGGACGCACGGTCTCGCGAGCAGCTGGAGCTATCGCATCCCCCTACTGACGCAGCTAGTCTGCCCGGCAATCTTCTTGGCTGGGGCCTGGGCGCTGCCTGATAGTCCGCGGTTCCTTGTCAGCCGTGGGCGCGTCGAGAACGCGAAACTGGCTTACCGCAGACTTCATGGAAGGACAGTCGAATCCCATGACCTCGGCGAGCGGGAAATCGGGGAAATCATCAAGTTCGTCGAGTTCGAAAAGGCAACCCAGCGGAGCACAAGCTACCTGGACTGTTTCCGCGGCGTGGACCGGCGCCGGACGCTGATTGCGATGGGCCTCATGACTTGCCAGAACTTTGGCGGCCGCGACTTCCTCTTCAGCTACGGGACGTACTTCTTCTCAGTAGCGGGTGTCCGAGAGCCCTTTCTTATCAGCATCATTTTGAACCTGTCGGCTTTGCTCGCTGCCGTCCTCTCCATTCCCCTTGTGCACGTCACAGGGCGCCGGAGAATCCTGCTCACCTGTGTCGCCGGGTTTGTTGTCTGTCTCTTCATCTTCTCCTCCGTCGGAACCGCAGTCCCGCAGAGCGTGATCGCAAGCAAGATCCTGATCACGTTTATGGTGCTGTACAATTTCCTGTTCACAATCTCGCTCGTAGTCGTCGCGTCCACGGTTATTTCCGAAACGGCCAGTACGCGGCTTCGCTCGCAGGCGCAGTCGCTCGCTGTCTTCACAGCTTGGAGTGAAGCCGTCATGTGGACCGCTGTGCTGCCGTACCTGATCAACCCAAATGCGGCGAATCTCAAGGCGAAAATCGGGTTCATGTATGGTGGGTTTGGGGTCTGTATTTGGTTCTTTATCTTTTACTGTGTTCCGGAGTATCTCCATCGGCCGTTGGAGGAGATTGATGAGATGTTTTTGAAGGGAGTGGCTGCCAGGGAGTTCGAGGGGTTTCTTTGCACGGGGGATCTTGATCCAGCCGCCATCGCGGATGTCCATGTTGAGGGATCAGGCAATGTTGAGGAGATTGTTGTTAGAAATGCGAAATAGAGCAGTGGTTCCAAATAGAATAGATATTCTGAAATAGATTTCGATAGCTTTTCTTCTGGGGACCGCCATACGCACACCAGCCTCCGCTAGCTACACACCGTTTACCCCCTATGCAGTCTGCTATCTACCCTTTTCCCCACATACAGGGTCATCACCAGGCCTTAGGTGCGTGAATATCAAGTAGCAATGTTTCGCGTGATGTACACTTGGCCTCATTTGTAGGTATATAGCGATTGTAGCCAGTCTGCCATCACTGGACCAGTACTTGCCTCGTGTGAGGCAGATTGAACATGGAATTTGTTCTGACCTAGCACGAAGTTGGGGTTTCGAGGTTATATTAAGTGCCTGTCTGGGGCCCCGAACTCATATTCGCATCCACTCTACAACTTACAGGCCACTCTACAACTTACAGGCCGAAATAACTGGCAGCATTCTCGCCTTTCACTTTTCCCTGTCAGGTCGCCACAGTAAGGGCGACAGCTAGCTCAAATGGAGTGACATCCTTGCTGGTCGGCACGGTGCTGGGGCGCCATCAGCAGAGGGAGCTGAGAAGGACTGCCACATGAACTAACTGAACTTACACATGGCTTATGGAGGCTAAGGGTGAAGGGTGACATATCTTTAAATAGAGCTCAAACTAGCGCAATTCCCATGGCATACTAAGCTAGATACTATGTCTGACTTCCTGAAAACTAGACTCAGTGCAACTCTTAAGATCCATAATTTCTTTCCTATACTAAAGTATTAAGCCAGGTCAATCTACCGCGACATTGACCCATTGACCCTGTGGACGTTGGTGCGGTCCACTTTGACTCGGGCGAGAATTGGCGAAGAGAATTAATTAGAGAAAGGAGCTCGCTAACTACTGGAGTCGCATGTGGTTGAAAAGTGGCTCCAGTTTGATTCGCACCTGACCCAGTATCTGAAGTCATTTGTTATTGAGCCTCCTGGCAACCACTGTAAGTCAAACTGTCGTGATCGTCCACTCCCTTGATATGTGAACAAATGACGCTCTCAGCGTACTCTTCGGCTTCTACTTGGGAAAAAGAAGGTATCCTCAGTCACTATTCTCATTGGACTCGCTTTCATTTGAGCTGGACCTAGGATCTTGTAGGTGGGCTCCTCCTGACATGCATATGTCTGTCAGGATGTCAAAGTTTAACTCAAGGCCATCTTGAGCGTACAATTAATATATAGCCCGTGACAGGAATACAGTGTGTATCATGGGCGGGTCATCTTGATCTTGAGAAACTGAATTCCAGTCAGGCGTGGTATCTATCTCTTTCTAGCTTCAGATTTCTCAGTAATCACTGGTTGACACAGTTTTCAAACAAGAATTTCTTCACTAGGTATACTTCTCAGTGCATTTGGTTTTTAAGGTCACTGCTAGTCTCTAAGCTGGGATGACAAACAAAGCACACTGACGCAGGCCCCACAGATATTTGTTTGCTTTGCTAGGATATGATGGACCAACACTTCACTATTTGTTTGCATTTGGTCTTGACAAGATCTTCTCTTCACTCCATTTCAACCTCTTGAGCTAGAAGACTTCTTCTCTTCAGTCGATCTGAAACTCTCGATCTTCGACAACCCCTTTTCTTCCTTCGATTTCGAGTATTAACCAACCTGCGTAACACCGTCTATCCACTATATTTGATAGACGTCACCTGTCAATCGACTTCAGGTAGCTTTTTGCTCTGGTGAGTGCGACAGAGAAGACCGATCCGTCACTCCTGAAGTGCTCGCTCGGCAGCAATGATTGATAGCGTGACATGAGAAAGAGCACCTAAGGCTGACAATTGCAATCAGAGATCATGGCTGCCCCTATCTGTAGCACACAAGTGCCACATGAAGACATTGAAGTCTCAGTCACGGGTGACTTCACCATCCACATTAACGAGTTCGACCCAGCGATCAGGCGAGACGAACGCTCCGGTGACGATGCTGACGAGGCGGGGACCAATGGCCTTGTGCGAACGGGGTCCCTCAAGGTTCAAAAGGGCATTCTCCTGGGACGCAGTCAGTATTTTAGAACCATGTTTGATGGCCGCTGGGCACACGGCCCCAAAGATGACAGTGTCGTTCTCAATGAAGATACGGTTCGAAGTATGGAGCTCTGGCTCCGTGTGTTTCACTCCACAATCGACACTTTGCCCAAGCAGTCCATCTCTGTGGGAGAGGTTTGGCATGCTATCATGGCTGGGGACAAGTACGGCTTCGACCTCCAAGCATTAAAGAGTTGGTTCGTCGCTTGGTACAAGGAGATGAGGAATGAAAGTGGAAAGGAGTTCTTCAAGGAATTCGCGCCGCAATTGCTCTTTCCTTGCTATGCCTTCGACTACGCTGTGGGCTTCCAGGAGCTAACTAAATTCATGACTTACAACGAGCCTCGACATATCATGGAAGCTAACCCCACGCATCATCTGCAGATGCACCTGCGCCCTCGAATTATCCGTAAGTCGCTAGCAGTCTTTGTCATGTGGTTTATCCTGCGCAATCGTGTCAGATCAAACTCGAAGTCGTCCTGCTGACCAAAGTATCCTTACAGAACAGTTAAATGCCGCGAAAGGTCGCCTTCGAACGATTCTACACCAGGCTTTGTTCAAGCGCGTCAATGAGATTATCGCTCGTGCAACATGCGCCTGCAAAGAGCAAACCATCTTTGATTTTCTAAAGGAACTGCGACGCATTGACGTCTCGCCGCTGGACCTGAGCAGCACTAAAGCAAGTGTTGCTCAAATGCTTGACCGAGTGCGACAATACGACGAGACAAAGACTCGCTCCCATGCCCTCTCTTCGAATGATACTTCGGTTAATCAATCGCGTCAAAGCCCGTGTTCCGTGTGCCGGCTTGACGGGAAGACCATCGTTCGCCAGGCGATCGCGCGGGTCTCCGGCTATTTTGATGGTCTATGCCTCGACTGCATGGATCGTACAAAGGATCTTCTGGTCGAGGGAAATAAAGACCAAGACTATTGGTTTCATGACCAATGGGAGCAATCCTATGACAGGGACTGCCGCATACCGCACGGCGAGCCCACCTGGTATTTCAGTTTCATGGGACGCAAGGAGAAGCGCGGCCTTATCGCCGAGTAGGCGTCAGCAACCATACAGTCGTCATTCTGGAACCGCGCAGCAGGCATATCACTGAGTCTGGATTACAGGTGAGGTTTAAGCGGCTCTCGCAGCCGCCTGATCAGTATCTGGTCGAACCAGTTTCGCTTCATGTCTCAAGAACGTACTGGAGGTTTCAGGATACCATTGCCATGCCGCTTTGGAGTTATCACTTTGGGGTTTGTTTTGACATGAGACAGGCTGCATTTCTTCTTTTCATGTGTTGACTCTCTGCAAGTATCTGAGTAAATAAGAGGATCCCTTCACTTTCACTAAGTATACCATACTATCACAGTGCACTTCTTAATATGACTCCTGACAATAACATCACTGTAAGTAGCATTTAAGCTTGCGGGGTCAACGATATAAAAATGCCCTAGGATAAGTGGAGTCAGATGGCGTTCGATACCAGCAATAGTCCAAGAATTATGATCCCAGTCCGACATCTTTAGCGCGTGATTCTTTCTGCATTTTGAGATTTGTCAACAACCTCATTTGTTTTCTCCTCTCTCTTTCTGCCCGCTTCGCACCGTTACCCCATGCATTCTGATTCGCCAGACCTCAAATAGGAAGGTCGGACGTGATTCATGCAGAAGGGGAATTGTCTCGTCAAACGACTCCATTCAGACGTGAGTTTGGCGATCGAGCCTCGTGTCGACGGCGTGTACATAATATGCAGTGATCCCACGCTAACAGTCCCTTGCTTCCAGTCTCACCGATGATCGGCATATTGAAGGTTACACAATAGAGGGGATGGGCTATTCTTAAATATGCAGTTGATCCCTTGCTAAACTGGAATCCCCTGCGTAGGTGCCTTTTCCTATATGCAGCATTGAATATGTTCCTCCTCACTATTGTTGCTATCAGCACTTTGTTGGTGCTGCTTCTCTATAAATTTCTAATTGCGCCATACTTCCTGTCTCCTCTCTCTAGAATCCCCAATGCACATTTCACAGCACCTATCTCGGACTACTGGATTGAAGGGAAGCGGCGGTCTGGGCAGGAGGTACTGACCATCTACGACCTTCATCGCAAGCATGGGCCTGTCGTGCGCCTGGGACCCAATGAGCTGAGCGTCAATTCACTCCGGGGGCTCCAAGTCATCTATACCGGTGCATTCGAGAAACACTCTTTCTACCGCGATGCATTTGTCAATTTTCTTACGGATAATCTTGTGGGCATGTTACCCAACAATTCTCATGCGCGACAGAAGCGTATGCTGAGCAAGATTTACTCCAAGTCATATCTGCACGAGTCGGCGGATCTGCGCAATATTTCGTCCATCATTCTTTCGCAGAGGCTTCTCCCTATTTTGAAAAAGGTTGCGGAGAAAGGAGAGGCGATCAATGTCTTGCCGCTGTTCCAGGCCGTGGGGATGGATTTTACGTCTGCGTTTCTGTTCGGCACGGCCAATAGCACGACTTTTCTTTTCGATCTCCCAGGATGGGCGGAATGGCTGGTGGAGTACGAAAGATTCAAGTACTTGAGCTTGGAAGAGCGGTATTTGGGCTTCATCGAAAGCTGGTGTCTGTCTCTCTGCAGCAGAATGCAAGGCAATGAGCATCCTAACGACGTGCCGGTTGCCACAAACCCGGTGGTGTATACTCAGCTCCGCCAGGGTCTGGAGAAGCATCCAGATCAACGGCCTCTAGAGTTGGCGCTTGCATCAGAGCTTCTCGATCATCTCGTTGCTGGACACGAGACCTCGGGAATCACCTTCGTGTATATGATGTGGGAGCTCTCGAAGCGGCCTCGGCTGCAAGCTGAACTTCGTCGAGAACTACTCACATTAACTCCATCCTTGAGATATCCATCTGTGGAGTTGAGTAATGAGGGCCTCCCAACTCTACCATCACCAGCCGCTATAGACTCTCTCCCTTTGCTGGATGCGATTGTTAGAGAAACACTCCGAGTGCACTCGCCTGCGCCTGCTCCGTTACCGAGAGTCACCCCCTCGTCACCAGGAGGCATAAAACTTGAAGAATACGATCGTATCCCCGGTGGAGTCAAAGTTAGTTCGTCCGCATACACTCTGCACCGAATCAGCGAGGTCTACCCCCAGCCTTTCGAGTGGCTGCCAGAGCGTTGGCTAGAACCAGGGCCTGGGAAAATTCACGATATGCGGAGACTCTTTTGGCCGTTTGGAAGTGGTGGGAGAATGTGTCTGGGTAGTAATTTTGCTTTGCAAGGTACGGTGCCCTCCCGCTCTCATCCTTTCCTTGCAGCATGCTTGTGAATGCAAGCTGACTGAATCTTCTGGCGCTTGAAGAGATCAAACTTGTCATGGCTGCAGTTTACACCAACTATACCACCTCTATCGTCGATGATGAATGCATTGAGCAGGATTATGCTTTTATTTCATTGCCCAAGGGACGGAAGCTGATGTTGAAATTTACCCCTGTGAAGCTGTGAATCATCAATCTGAACCCATAAAGTCTCGCTGTTTGTGTTCATTCAGCCAGAGCCGGTATCATTGCGCAGTGAGTGTTGCTTTAGCCAGGTTATTGTTGCATGATCAACGCGATCAGCAATAAACTTTCTATACCAGTGGCCAAGTGAAGCTTGAATGGTTGAACCAACCCAAGGCCCAGAACCTAAACCATGTTCCTATGTATGCTCCAGCATGGCCAATAACCGAAAACAGTGAACCGCGATCGGCTGGCTACGTCCCGAAACCTACGACTCTATCATTTCCATGGCTTTCGAGCTAGCGTACCCGGCTGTGCACCGAACTCTGTCGAGAAATTTAATCGTTCAGTCATTGGCTTTTGGCTTTCTGAGACGGCACCAAAATAAGAGTCTTTGCTGCGTTCAATCCAGACACAAGATATAGACGGCCATGCGCAAGCCGGTGGAACTGGACAATCGCTTGTAGACGGGAAGCCTTACTGAACAAGCAGCTCTGCGATGAAAATTGCATTAGATTGTTTTTTCTCGGTGTATATACAAAAGCATATCGATATATAAACATTTCAGTCTAGATACAAATCATCATGGGGATATCCAGATTTATGTTTCTGATCTTTTTCTCTTGAATTGTTACCATGACGCCCGCATCATGCAACGTCTCTCTCCTCCATTGCGTTACCATAATATCCTCAAGCGTAAACGTCCTCCGGAATTTCCCTGGGGCGGTACTCTGTGAAATTCTCCGGCCAGAGGAACATCTTCTCTTCCTTTGACGGAGTGGCGGCGATGAATTGAGGAACGGATTGCTGGCTGGAAACCCTTCTCCACATGTTGGCACGTGGGTTGAACCGAGCTGGAGTTCCCTGGCCTTTGGTCTTTTCCTGGTCTTCCTTCATGATCGACTCCATCTCCTCCTTGATGTCGGTGAACGACTCAAAAGGAATGTACGAAATGTTGTTTTCCGTGCAATACTCCTCGAGGCGAAGGCCCTTGCGCGCGAAGAGGACATCGGCTTCACGAGCAGCAGGAAGATCGGACACACCGTCGCCAATGAAAACGATCAGGGGAATTTGGCCATCGATGCAATACTTGGCGGCCTTGGCGCGACCTTCCTGGACCGAAAGGGCCTTGTCATGGCCCAGCTCGGTATCATGTCTCCAGATTGGTTTCCATTCCGAACCGTCCGATTTTATATCGGCGTCATTTGCAACAATCTGGATTGACGACTTCACCGATCGATCAGCGGCATCATTCAATCAGCAGATAGTTGGGTATGACTTACTGCCTGCTCTCCCAAAAATGTCTCCAGCACTCTGCGCAAGATGGGCTTCAGTCCTGCACTGATCACGTTGAAATCGATGCCGTTCGTAATGCAGAACTTGTGAAACTCCTGGAATCCAGGATCAATTTCGAGTTCCTTTTCCATAACTTCAAACCCGTCTTCAAAGGGGACTCGCAGAGATCCCCACATCTCCTCAGACACATCACGGAATGACCGCTCGCCGGTTTTGATCTGTTCATCCAGCATTTGGCGGCGCTTCGTGCCGCATCCCAGATTGTCGAAGAGAATATGGCCAGTGTCTTGCATAAATATGGTGCCATCAAAGTCTGGGAATAGCATAGAAATAGCAACCAATCAGCGCTCCTATCATTGTCATAATAAAAGAACACGGGCATACGATCGACAGGGGGCGAAGCTTGTGCTGAACTGCTGGGGCTTGCGTACCTGAGAAACAGACAATCTTTCTTGTTGTGTTAGGCATGTTTCTTGTTTTAATCTGGCAAGCAACTGGGAATAGAGACTTGGGATTGGTGGATTGAAGTCACAACGAAATGGTCACAGAGATCTGGGGACACCATCTTGGTCAAATATGTTTTCGAAGTGGCGATGTTAAGTCAAATTGCTAGAACGGGATAACAGGATATCGATCGCGCAAAAGGAAATGACGTCGCCGGCTCTCTCGTAAACATTTCTGTGGTTGGCTTGCAGAGACTGAAAGAGTGGGAATTCAATAGACTGGGTCTGGATCATGCTGCTCGACCTCTGAAGGCTCAAAGAGTCAATTCTCATACTCCGCCAGTTGGTGGAGCGGAGTTTCTTCTCCATTCATGATTGGCCAATGTTTGAACTCGCTTATCGAGACCCGTGCACGTGTTCCTTGCATCATTCCCGATCCAGTTAGATTTAGTTGTCGGAGTAATCTTTGACCGCATTGTTGAGCCGAAACAGGAATAGTTCAGGACAGTATTAATACCATTGTGGCAGAATTGACATCATTGGGACTGATCTTGCCGATGGCGAATCAGATCTTCCGCTTGGTACTAATTCTTCTGTTGCGGAAAAGAGCCTTGAGCTTTTAATCGGAGTACTTGTGCCGTCATGAATCTAATTTCGTCAGGGTGATCAGTGGCGACAATAACAGAAGTGATATTTCTGACCCCACGTGTGGTGCCAGCAGCGTAGTGAGACGACTTAAATCACATCCAGAACTGGAAAATTGTTATCCAGCTGGTCAAAGCGTATGCAGATGATTACAGGCCCCTCTCATTCAGAAAATTCAACTATGTACAAATGGCATGCTCCTTTGGTCTCGACCCTAACCGACGATACTTCCATTCTCTCAATGGCAAATAGGAAATGCAGGGCTTGACGGAGTGACTTTACCACCATAAATGACTTGATCACCTGGGTTGGCAAAGACCGTTTCCTTTCCTTCAACAGTGGAACAGCCATTACCAACATTCGCGACAAACAGATCCGGATAAGCACTCTCAAAAGATGACGGACTGCCAGTACCTCCGCTGATGACCACATCTGCGCAATTCATGTACAACTCCCGGTTGCCGATCAAATTGTACCAAGTCCACGCAAAGAGGGCTTGGCCATTAGCGACATCCCTAGGTATCTTGAAGTTATACCTGGACACAAGTGGACATCCACCTTCCATGGACTGAATGACTTTGAATGTTTTGCCGTTATCGTAGCTCAGAGAGAGCTGACAAGAGCCACCTCCGTGGGTTGCGGAGCCGGTTATGGTCATGTTATATGTCTGACCGGCGGTATACTGTGCGGTTGCGCGCCAGGGAGTATTGGTCTGGTATCCTTTGCAGGGGAAGTTAGAGCCTGTCACCTGTTAGACATGCACAGATTCATCGTGATAATGGTTAATGGGTGAGCACCATCGCTGTCCAGAGGACTGGTCATTGAATAGTCGATATCCTCCTCAGGCACCTGTGGGTCGAAGCGACTGCGAAGAGGATAAGGCCAACTCATTTCCATATGAGCTGCTGCCAGGCTGACAGTGAGCAGGCCCATCACAACTTTGCTGAGCATCATCATTGCTACCAGGTGATATTTCGCTTTGTCTTCGATTGGGTGCTTTGAGAGACTTGGAGGATTGATGCATAACGTTGCCGTCAATTCCCCTGTTCTTATACCTTTGGCGCTCACCAAGTTACTGAGAGTAATGTTTTGGGAATGTTGAAAAGAGACTCCCTCCAGGTTACATCTCAACTGTTGCATCTCAGTCGCACTGAGACTATCGACAAAGCAAGGCCTGCGGCGTTCAGTGGCAGAAGAATCCAGGCGCATTGCATGGGAAGTTGTAACTGAAAAGCTCCACTGACCATGGCTGGGTTACATACGCCTTCGATTCTCCATTAAGGCAGTTTCAGTATACTATACGTGTTTCATTCTCTCACCCAGGGGACGATCGCAATTTACTTAGTCATGTCCTAAGTTCGCGTAGCGCAATCAACATTTCGCTATGAGCTGAGACCCTCCAGCACCATGGGTTACACTGACAGCCTAAGATGGGCGGTGTGAGTGGCCCTGTTTGATGCTCTGTCGAGGATGAAGACGAACCTGAAGAGATCATCACGCGTGTCCGATTGGATCCGATGGCTTTAATCAATTTACATGAACAGCGGCCTAAGACGAGAGTGGAATGTGCTATCTGTTCCTGGCATAGATCTCGCATTTAGCTGTGACTATCCCCACATGACCTGAGACGAGTCTCATCGAGGGACAGCATGACTCGGCAATTTCAAGTTCTGCAGAGCGATTAATCATTGATAACGCGAAGCGACAGGCTAATCCCATGAGATTCCTAGTCTTCCTTGTCTGTTCAATCACATTGAGAAATTTGTGAGGGGGAGGTACTTGGCGCCCTGGTCTAATTTCCTTTCGACCAGGGTTTGAAGCAAGTGCCGACTACGGGGTACTTTAAGTCTATACAACATTATAATCCTACTGTTACACTTGTTTGAGAGATTGATCATGTTTCGATTGCCTGGGGATTAGTTGCACTTTCACGCGCCTACTTTAGGCCTCGGGATTCTGCAATTAAATCCATTCAGCCCTGCAGGGTCCATCCTTATCCCCACAGATCTCTATTGCTCTGCCTCAACATAGACTAATAGACTAAATATGAGATGGGGTCGAGTGCTTAGAAGAAAAAAGTATGCACACTCTTACCTGCTCATCACAGCCAGATGTTTGCGAAGTTCCTCTACTATTACCGGCACGCGTGGAGAACACATAGTCATTGTATAGACGCTACCGCTTCAGGGTGCTGATGAGTTTTAAGCTCTCTTTAGCTGTACAGACCTTCATAAATCAAATCAAACAAAGGTAAGTACAACTCATGAATCAAAGGCAAGTGGAGATTTTATAAGTTTATACAGAAATCCTGGTATGACAGGTTAGTGGATATCCATCTATATCTTCGACCACATTGCAGACTACAAAATCAGTCTCCGAAACTTAATGAATGCATCCTTACTGCACTATAGAACAATTCTGATGACTATTCCATAGTCTGTTAGTAAAGTCCTCACTATGGTAATTGTTAACATGAAACAGAGATCGTCAATCAGTTTGTAGTCTTATTGATGTGCTCTGTTTATGGCCCCATCTAAGCCACTCTGTCGCTCAGGCTGTGTACATGCATATAGTCATGTTGAGAGAACTGCTTCGAGATTGAAGACAAAAGTAGACTCGTGTTTGGCAGGTTATTATTATCGGAGCAAAATTCATTGGCATATGACTGACACAACTTGTCCATGCTAATAAACTAGAACTGGAGCCGTCTATCCACCATAACGCTGATCATCAGCTAAGCGGAGGCCAACAATGCCGATTGTCTGTCCCGAGATCCATAATAGGGGATTCCGTCATGGAGCAATGTTGGTTTTAGACTCATTTATAACTGATCAGTGCTGCCTTGGTTCTGCCTTGAGGCTGTGTTTGTCCTCATTGTCTTAGGTTATAACAATGGGCTTATCGGGACGTTTCGGTTTGTGATCTTATTTTTTGCTGTTTATTCTCGCTTTTATATTGCTGTTAGTGATGCTGATGAGGACTAAAAGATTGGGACTCGTTCAAATGACAATATGGCGCGAAAGTTTGGGAAGAGCCAGCATCCTTTCACCACCAAATCTTCTTTGCTCTGTCTCCTACAAATCCTCGCAAGTCCGGCTCGCAGTTCAGCGCATGATGAACCAACGGCAACCACGACGGTGATTGTTCCAGCCACTGAAATCTATTATCCCTCATCCACCTCTACGCCGGTTCCGATCACGAGCCCCGATCGCTGGGTGATCCCGTTGGTCGGACTGTCGGATGTCACCACACCTTGGGGTGCCAATGTTACGAGTGGGAATGGCACGGTGACTGCGTATACCATATCTGTTGGGCAGAACGATAGCGACATTGACAGAAACGGTGGGGAGAATGGTACACAACCGCTGAACCGACCACAGTATACCTTGGTGGACGCCCAGTTCATAGGAGACCTCAATGGCAACCAGGTCAATTTCACCATATCCCAGCATGATCATCACATACTCAACCTAGGGAACGACTCCCACCTGATGGTCACCACCAGCGGTACCGACGAGAATACCCCCATCCGAACAGTCCCTTTTGGCTTAAACCTAGGCCATAGAGGCGAATGGAACGGTTCACTCGCACTAGGCGGATTATACGACGCCAATCGTCTCACCGACGATGCGACATCCTGGGTCTCCATCGCAGAGACCATGAACAACAATGGTACCTTTCTGCAGACCGGCAAGCAGACCCTCTCCGCTGTCATTCTACGCGTCTGGGAGTACAACCCCGGTCCAAGTGGCACCAACACGAGCATCAACGCCAAGGTGAAACGGTCCGGTCCCTTCTCGGTCTCGGACGAGTCTGAACCTAGCATCATCTACCCTGCTCGGTTGGATCTGACCAGCGACGCGCTGATCCTGCCACGAGACTGGTGCGGCCGCAACGTCACGCTTGAAATCAACATGTTTCCGAACCGTGTCGCAAGTGTCTCTAGTTCGATTTTGATTGGGATCCCCGGGAACCTGACGGACAGCAGCAGCCGGTGCAGCTTCGAGCAGAATACTGAGGAGATTGTCCTCGGTCGTCCTTTCTTCCAGGCGGCCTACATCTACGTTGACGTAACCGGCGAGGTGAGGATCCTTCCTGCCAATCAGTACGATCTCCCACCCAAGCCGGTTTCATTCAATGCATCTGCGAGGCTGGTCCAGCCTGACCGCCGCACCTCGAGGTATAGCCCTGGTGCTGCGGGTGGAACGCTGGTCAAGGGCAGCTGGGGCGACCGAAACTTGCCTGCTGAGACGGCGCTCAATCGTGCTGTTGCCGTTTTACTTGTAATTGCTGGTTTTGCGTTTTTGCTTTGAGTAGACGGAGACAGCTAGCACTAGCCCATGATACCCATCAATTATGCCCTTGCGAAGAGAGTATCCTCTCGGTAATAAATATGTTCTTTCAGCGGCCTTCCCCGGGCATTGCCATGTTGTACCGGCTCCAACCGAGATGAGGTTAAGAACGTGTAAAACTGCATTTTCTAGTCTGGCGCAATGCAGTAGTCAGTTCATTTCAACTTGCACAAAGCAAGGTCCATTTGTCTACCAGAGACACTGTATTAATCTATTGTTGAACTGGAAGCAAAAAGCGACTAGACTACTCTGGCACATCGCGAGATGAACAATTGCAAGTACATTCCACTGTATGATACAATACGCCTCCCCTTGCTAATGAGAATATTAGATTAGAAGCAGAAAATTTGGTCTGTCATCTTCGAAACTGGCCCTGGTTTCTGGAATCCCATCGCAGCCAGCGTCTTCTTGGTAGCGCTCACCATGCCCGGAGGCCCGCAGAGGAGAACCTTGGTGTCGGGCGAAGGCGCGAATAGCCGCTCACTGAGGACCTCCTGGTTGACGAATCCGCTTCCATACGCCCAATTCTCCGGGGCGGCGTCAAGCATGTACCACAGCTTGAAATTCTTGGGGTATTTGCGGGCAAACTGCTCGAGTTCATCACGTAGCAAAATGTCTGCCTCGGTTCTATTGGCGTAGATAAGGCTGATCTCCGTCGTATCACGCTCGTCCTCGCAGATAGCACGGATCAGCTGGTACATAGGTGTAATTCCTGTTCCGCCGGCTACCATTCCCAGCTTCTTGCAGAACCCTGGTTTGTAGCGCATCGCGCCTTTGGGTCCTCTGAACTCGACCTCGTCACCCACTTGCAGGTTCGCTAGGTATTTTCCACTGAGCATGCCATCCGGGTAGCATTTCACGACTAATTCTAGTCTGCCCCTGTCTAGGTTGTTCGAAACGGGTGTATAAGACCGGCTCACGGTAGCACCATCGATAACAGCGCGAATAGCGACGTGCTGTCCGATGGGAAGACCAATCACTCCGTTGCTGTCGGGTAACCCAAACACGAAGCGGTATACGTTTGAAGATAACTGATCCTTCTGGATTAGCAGCAGACGCTGGAACTCCTTCGGGTCAAGGAACCCTTTAAGCAAGTGCGGATCAGTCCTGGGCACCTTGCGTGCCTTGATATGCGGGGGATACTGCAGAAATCCCGACTCGATCTTGGTGAATTTGGCGGCTTTACGTGCGATAACACCACCTGCTGCCGCACAAATCAGAGTAGCTGCGATGAATCCATTGGCGAAGCCTCCCTGCGGCAGCCTTAGCCCGCTTAAGTGCTGAGAGATATATCTGTGAAGTGACCCTGTGGTGTCAAGTGCGAGCAAGGAGCCGCGACGGTTGACATAGATCAAGGAGGCGACTGCTCCCAGGAGACTGGTGACCGCTCCTACGTATCGGGTTGCTGATGAAGAAGGAGTCTGGACGGAGCTCTGAGCGATGATGCGAACTTTCTTCGGAGCGACGTATTCTTTCGCGTCCTGAAGGGTTCCGATCAGGAATTCTTGTAAAATTTCGCGCGAATCTTCTGAATGACCAATGTCTTCAAATGCTTCTGTCGCATCTGAGCCGGCAACCTCAACCAGAACATCTGCGCCGCCGGGATGATCTTTCTGGTACTTTGTCACGTCGTACACTGTCAAATCTTAGCAACTGAAGGCTCCAAAGTTTGCACTCTCCTGAGGGTCATGCGACTTACCTTGTCCGTGGATCACAATCCAATTGTCGTCCTTGCGGTTATGCAGTGCAACTTCCTTCAATGTGTACTCAGGTAAATCAATAACAGGGCTTTTCTGAGCGCCGCTGGCATCTGCCATCACTGAAACGGCCATTGCTAAACGGTACAAGAATCAAAGGGGAGAGCTTCAAGTGAACATAAGTAAATAGGGTCGATTCGGGTGGGCAGGCTGTTCGCGGATTTTTATAAACCATGTCGACGTTAGCAACCATTGAGGGAAAGCATCGGCCAGTGGAAAAGACGGACAAAATTCATTATTCTTCCTCAACCACTCTGTATCCATACTCTATTCTCGTGCACACTGAGTACTCCGTACTAATGATCCTTCTGCAAATTATTATTATTCAGTCGGAAATGAGAACCTAATGATGATCTCTAGTATCCACTCTCGTATGCCTTCACCGGCGCAACTTCCCCTGCCATTCTAGCGCACGGCACGAACTTTCTCGAATCGGCATTTTTACCTCGGCACAAACAACACTTTTAGTCTTGCTTTTGTTGTTGTCTGAGATCGGCCCGAACATGGATGGTTTTCTCTGAGAATAATAATGCTGGACTGGTTCTGGCTCGGCACGCCTTGATCCACGCTGGAAAAGGAATCCCTCGGTCGGGTTACCGAAATGCACACAGTACAACTTCTCATTGAATGAACACGCTGTGCATCGCTTGCAATCTTCCAAATAGTAAATGGACAACATCAGCATCCTGATGCGACTCGAATCAGTCGAAGTGAAGTAGATTGATCCCTGATGGTTATTTTGGTTTCCTGTTAGACGTCTGTCACCATTGTAAGGAGTGATGTTGTACATGTCCCGTCTGCATAAGCAGAAATCTCTGGTTAGTGGTGGGACTTCAATGTCGATCGCTCAATTAGCGTTGGCTTTAATCTTAGAATCCAACACAAAGCTTCAAACAGCCGAGGCACTCCTTGAAATAGTAACCTTTTCTGGAATATCTTCGCTGACGACATCAGCGCATCCGACTACGTAGTAGTCGAGACGGACTCGCCGATTCCGTTGAGCCCGTAGTACACGGCCCTTATACATGAGGTGGATACACTATGCAGTGATGCTCTGGTTCCTCTTGCTGTAGTTCGGCTTTTATCCGAGTCGCATCTTATCTCGAGGCATTTTGCATAGATTTGCAAACTCATATACCCCCTATAAATGAATGAGGATGGCCGTCCGTCCTGCTTCTCGGTTCATGTCCGACAATATCCCATCCCTCCAAGTCATTTTGCTTTGGAGTCTGCATACCAGTTTTCGACAGGATGTCGACGACAACCAAGCTCTTTCACCTTCTGGGTGAACCCGTCTCGACAGCAAAAGAGATCCAGTTCGAGTCAACGACGACATATGAAGACCTAAGACATCTGATTGCGGCGCACTTCGCGATTGTTGAGCCCAATGGTAAGGACCATCTGAAACGCATAAGAGCACAATATAGATAAGCTGACCCTCGCAGGTATTGGATTCCTATCGCAGGATTCTATCCTACATGACGTGCCCGAAATCGCCGCTAGTGAAGATATCATCAGCATCACGATCGATGGGAAGGCGGTGCGCGAGATACCGGGCCCCAAGGGCCTTCCATTCATTGGGAACTTCTTTGAAGTCTATCCCGACCATCTGGGCAATCATCAGCGCCTTTTTGAACAGTATGGGCCGATCTTTAAGACAACCAACATGGGTCGCACCGTATACCATACCAACGATCCACAGCTCTCATCAATTATTTTCGCCGAGACAGACTTCTTCACGAAGAAAATCAATGCAGCGCACCCTCTGCATCCGATCAAGAATCAGGAAGCCGGTGTCTTTTTGGGCGATACCGATACACCGGAGTGGAGAACCGCACATAAATTCCTGCCGCCCGCACTTGGCCCCAAGGCCGTGCGTCATTATGTTCCCATGATGCAGGAAACGGTTGAAGACGCGTTCAATGTCTTTGATGCCCTAGATGAGAAAGAGGAAGCATGGAACGTCTATCAGTACATGCTCAAGCTTGGGTCACAAGCTGTTGGCAAGCTGGTCCTCGGAATTGATTTCAAACACTTCTCCTCTATCGATGCACCTCCACATGAACTTGTCTACCGCATAGCAGAGTCATTGGAGCTGAATAAGAAAGTGACTGCATGGGGCGATTGGTATGCCAAGTTACCGTTTGGTGACCCGCAACGGTTGAGAAATACCAGAGGACGTATCATTGATATGGTCAATGAGTCCATCCAAAACGCGGCTCGCGGAGGCATTGAAGATCTTCCTCTCCAGGATGCGGCATTGAAAGCATCCAACATGGTTGGTACGTAATAGCTTCTTCCAACTTGAAATGAATACCTTGGCTAATTTCACTAGACTACGCTCTCCGAGCCACCGACAACAAGGGCGAAAAGCTGCCTAAAACCAGTCTAATGCAGGCTTTGGTGGTAGCAACAGGAGCCGGCTTTACAACCACCAGTTCATTATTATCATGGCTTATCTACGGCCTCGTCACCTACCCTGGGGTGCAGGAGAGGTTGCTGCAAGAGCTCATCGACAATGGCATTGATGCCAACACGCAACTTACTGCGGACTTGACGGATCGTCTAACATTCATGGACAAATTTATCAAGGAGACCCAGCGTCGGCATAACCCTTCATATCAGCCTGGGCGAACCGCCAAGGTAGATATGATCCTTCCTGGCGGCTACAAGCTTCCACAGGACTCGGTCGTCATTGGCGCTCTGCACCACCTTCACAACAATCCGGAAGTATGGAGCAATCCTGCGCGGTTCGATCCTTACCGCTGGGACACAGAGGAAGTCAAGAACAGACACAAGACGGCCTACATTCCCTTCGCCACTGGTCCTCGCATGTGTATCGGGTTCAACTTCGCTTTGCAAGAAGTTAAAGTCTTCCTGCCCAAGCTGGTGTACCGATACAAGTTCACCAGGGAGAATGACGGGCATATCGAGTACGATCCCATGTTCCAACTGATTCGACCGACCAACCTATATGTTCGCGCCGAACGGCGCGTCAAATGGCCGCCAAGGTCAGACAAAGCAGCTCCATCGGCTTCACTGTGATGACGACGTTTCCACTATAATATTTGGAGATTTCAGGCATTTGTCGGGCTTTATTGCTTGATTACAGACTTCTGTAGTATAGACTAGCGTTTTGTTTTATCAAAATACCACTTTCACTAGGAGCGTTGTCTGTGGGAATCATTTCTGTGTACGACTAAG